ACCTCTTCAGTTCTGCCTGGTCTAAATCTAGCAGCACCCTGGTTACCTACCCCGGGGCTTTGTGATTGGTTGACTGTGTGGTGTGGGGTGGAGAAGGAGGGAGGAGGGAAGGAGGCTGCTGATGGAGCTGCGGCATCCCTTAGTCTCGGGCCTCGGGAGGGGGAGGGGACAGCAGGAGGGAGCCATTTCTCTCCACCGACTGCAGCTGCCGTGTCACCGCTCACATTTCCCCGGAATCCAGGGACCTTATCGGCCAAGTGCTCCATAATGCTGGATATCTTCATCCTGATGTTCTTTGCCATCATAGGCCTGGTCATTCTGTCCTACATTATTTATCTGCTCTAGTGGCCTGGAATCTGCGGCTCGGAGCCCTCAAGAGAGCAGCTTGGAGGGGAAGGATGAAGCTAAAGGGCCCGAGCATCTCGCCTGCTGACGCACCGCTGGATTTGTGCTTCTGGTCATTATTCCGGGTATTGACTCAAAAACAAACTAAAAGAGAGCTTGTTTTTCAATCTTTTTTCCTCAGATGCATTAATGTAGTATTTCTCAGACCACTTTGAAAAGAACGTTAAAAAATAGCAACTTCTTTTTTCGGGACCTAATTTAAAATATGATTTTTTAAGTTAAAAATAAAACCCACAATGCAAAGGGTTTTTAATGGGGTGAGTTGGGAGCTGTGTGCATGGCAAGGAAGGACCATTATTCCCTAGTTTCTTATTCAAATTAGGTGCTCAAACTACATACTGTCCTTTTTCTCCCAGTAGGTAAAGGCAAAACACAGTGGTTTATAACTGGGCTTGCATTATTAGTAACTCATTCTCACCTGACGATGAGAGATAGTAAATGAAATTTACTTGGGGGTGGAGTTTGGGGGAGATACACATTCTTTCTTGTGGCGTTTGGCAGAGAGGAGTGAGGAATTTCTAATTCCTTCCCTAGTCCGTGACCTGAACTGGGAGCTCAGACCTTTACTGCTATTCCTATCTGAGGCTTTTTGTTTCTGGGTTTCCCACAGCTCCTGGTCTCCAGTCCAACAAGAGGCCTCTTATCGACAGCAGCAGTTGGGCTGCCCAGCAGACCTCTTCCAGAGCTTTCCGGATATGATTAACCCCTGGCAAGCAAGGGGCTTTTTGAGCTCAGAGGCAGAGGCACACGAGTGGGACATCAGGAATTCATGGACAAGGCTGGCAGATGCTGTGTGCGTTTGAGCTGTAGATAAGAGCACAGAGAGTTGAAATGTAGATTCATTAAAGTTACCATGGAGAACTGCTCACAAATTCATTTTGATATCTTCTCCTTAGGTCTAAGTGCGACTGTGTATTATGCTAAAATATGTTCTTTCCTTTCTCACACACAGGGATTTCCTTGTAAATTCAAGAGCACGTTGTCTATGCTCATGTATGAAGTAGTCACTTTATCACTGGCTTTACAGGTTGCACAATCTGGGGTTCTGTGGTTTCCCTTGTCTCACTCTCTAGCCAAAAGGAACTTGTCATTTGAGTTTTCAAAATTTATCATTTCTTCCTCCGCCTCATACCACGTGTGTGCCAGCTTTTTATTTAAAGAGAGAAACTGTTATACTGCCCTCATTCTTTGTGCCTGGCTGAATTATAAATTATTGAAATAAGATGGCTACACTTATTATTTGGGACAAATCTCTCTTACCCCAAAATAATTTTTTTTTTTTATATTATCAAATGTTCCTTTTCTGGAAAAAAAAAATTTCAACATATTTCTCTGTCCAATTAGAGTTGAAGAAACCATAAACATATTTGGGTTCCAGAGTAGAATTGGCTCCCATATATGTGGTATTTATTCCTTTGAAAAGCCCATCATGATTATTCCACATTTCCTTTTCCGTTCCAGCTTAAAAATAAACAAGATGAAATTAATAGTTTTTATTATCATTAACACTGTGTTCAATTTCCAGGTTTTAAACAGAAATACAATTAAGGCAATATGACATGTCACAATTAAAATAGAAGACTTGCATTTTAAAATTATGACCAAGAAAACAATTCTGGAAGCTTTGTATCTACAACAAATTATGTGACCTTCAATAAGTCATTTAACCTTTAGGGCTTCTGTTTATTTTGTCAAATGAAGAGGACTAGAAAATTTTTCATGTCCCTTTCCATTTTAAAATTCTAGAATTCTAAGATGCATTTCTTTGGAAACAACATTTTTGAGAGCAGAATTCTCATGGAACAAACTCCTAATAGTTTACCAGTAGTCCCTTTTCCTGCTCAATCTCTCCAGCATGACACTTAAATAAAAACTCAACATCTTTTCTGGTACCAACAGCCGTATTGTGAAGAGAAAATGACAACATATGCATTATATCAGTGATAATTTGAATAAGTTCTTTAGGGAATATTAACAAGTATAATATATAGGAGCCCTGGTGGCCCAGTGGTTAAGTGTTTGGCTGCTAACCGAAAGATGGGAGGTTTGAACCCGCCAGCTGCTCTGCAGGAGAATGATGTGGCAGTCCACTTCTGTAAAGATTTACAGCCTTGGAAACCCCTTTGGGGGCAGTTCTACTCTGTCCTATAGGGTCACTATGAGTTAGAATTGACTCAATGGCAATGGGTTTGGTTGTTTTGGAATAATACTGTATGGTGGTATGTGACAAAAGATAGGTAATCTGACAGATACATTAATGCAAGAAGCATGGCTCTGGAAAGTAATACACTTAGGGACGATCTTCAGTTATCTGTGGAATCCTTGATGTGACATTTCCCACTAAGACATTCCGCTTATTCTTTGGTATAACCTTGTGTTTCAACCTAAAATTTTCCAACTCAAGCCGAGATATCAGCTCTGTGAAATGATTTGGGCAAGTGGCAGTATTTTGGAGGGGTCCATATTACACAGTTGGAGCCCAGGTGGCTTGGCTGCTAACCAAAAAGTCAGCAGTTTGAATCCACCAGCCACTCCTTGGAAACCCTATGGGGCAGTTCTACTCTGTCCTATAGGGTCGCTATGAGTCGGAATCGGCTTGACGGCAACAGGTTTGGTTTGGTTTATATTACACAGTTAGTTACGGTGGTGTAGATCCTTATGGTAGAGTCTTTAAGTAACCAAGCTCAATCCAAAGTCTTTTATGAGGTCTTGGCTCTTCAGTCTGTAGCCATACAAAGTTGCAATAATTAATGCAGTGAAAAAAAAAAATCAGCCAGTTTTAGTTATACACCAGTTATATACACCACTGGTATTGGGTATGACATAAGCAGAAATATTTCAGTTACTTGTGAAATATCATGGTTTTTAAAAAGAATTACATCTTGAAAGATTTTTTTATGACTTTGTGTCTATACCCATTGCTTAATATGCCATTTTACAAGTTCCACTGTGTTCATCATTTGTTTTTAATTCCACATTTAAATATCTGTATACTGGCATCCTGAAACGTAATTTAAAAGTAACTTCTGTAATATAAAGTTTGTATACATTTCACAAATCTGTATCTTAGAGCAATCATGTCTATAGAATGGGGATTGTACTTGGTTCATAACATTGTAATAAGAACATTTCTGAATGGTTGCAAATTTCTTAAAAATTAGTGTGACACAATGCTAAGAATCATTACACGAATACCTGCTTTCTTGATGAAATAAGTGTGTAAAAGTGATATATTTTATTTCAGAGTAAAGGATTACTACGAGGATCTATCTTGGAAAACAGTTAAATAATGGAAAGTTAAATATTACTAAGTTAGAACCACCTAAGACTCATTGTTCTGGGTATATGGAATCAAACCCAAACTGTGAGTTTGAAACTTGGTCTGACATGATTTATTGAATTTCAGAAAATTTACTTGCTTTCAAAAGGCTTAAGTTTAGTGTTGATTAGACTTCCAAAGCCCTTAAAATATGATTTTAATTTTAAATTACTCAAAGGTAATGGGGATTACATTTCCCTTAATAAAATATGGAAGCATAGTTGAAGTGGAAAATTGTCTTTGCAAATGATACGCTTTGCAAAGCATACTTTGTGCCTGGCTGAATTATAAATTATTGAAATAAAATGAGTTTATCAAACTCCAAATATCTGCTAAGTCTAGAATGGCCTCCTCTAAGTCAGTTTCACTCCATCTACTTTAAACAAAAATAACATCAAAGTTATATATAAAGAGGGAAGCAGAAGTCATTGACACAACTTCCATTATAAAATCAACAATACTAAGGAAGATAAATTTTAGAAATATTTAATAACTTTTTTGTTCTTAGAGAAATACTGCAAAATCTTGTAGTCATGGGAAATTGCAGGTATTCCACAATACTTAAATACATATTTTGTTTTTATAAACTGGTGTTAAACTAATTGTAGCATTTCTAATTTAGCAACAATTGGAATATTAATTGCTTGAGAATTTGGTCTCTGAATAAAACAGCAGAATATAGATTAGTGTTCTACTTATAGATTACTGTTCAGTTTGAGTTATTGCTAGATCAAATTATTTACTTTTTTACACTATTATTAAGCATATTCATAAATATATGGTTAATTGTGACATTATTTTACATTAAAACTTTTCATTTTTTTATCATGGCAGAGCTATAATTACAGTTTATATAAAGATAAATCCCCCCATAAATAAATACTCTAAAGGAATTATACACTCAATGACTTTCATAATAACAAACTCTGAACAAGCTGGAAATGTTTCTAATTTTAATTTTATTAATATGAATAAATAAATAAAATTAACAAGTATAAATATTTAGGCATCAAAGACATTTTACTATAAACATAAAACTTTTTAAACAACAATGCATATTTTTCAGTTTTACGCACCTTTAAGAAAGTAGTGATCTCAGAATGTCTGTGATTTTTTTTTTTTTTCAGTTCAAGAGCTTTTTAAGGGCTAAACAGTTTGTTTAAAAAATCTCCAGTTGTTTGAGGCATTTTCTGTAGGTATATTTGCTTTCTTCATGAAAAAAAAAGTGTGCCTAGTCCTTCAGCATATATATATATATATATATATATATATATACTTGAGCTGGTGACCTGGAGAAGACTGTCCATATAGCTGTCATCTTTCAGGTCATCTTTCCTATCTTAGTGATGTCTCAGTAAACCAAGGCGCATACGTCCATACCTTGATGTTTTACAGGTTTCATAGCTACTTGCCAGTGAAATTGTTAAAGAAGTCACATTGCTAGTAAGGTGTCCAATAACCAAAGTGGCTTTTGTAGCAGATTTGTTTTTACCCTTCACAATGAACATAAAAATCTGTAATCATATAATTGAGTACTATTCACATAACGAGGCTGACTCTTGAATAATAATCAGATGAAGAGATTAACGTTTGTTTTTTATTGACATAAAACAATTCCTCCTGTTGCACTTTCTGCTGGGCACCTCATAATTGCTCTAGTCTCCAAAGGTGAGCAATTATCCTCACAATACAATTTTTGTTATTAACAGAAGAACCAGAAGCATGAACTAAGTTATCATAAGATAGGAAAAGCGTGAAATAAGATGCCTATTTTTCAGGCTATTGACAGCATCCTGGTTAAACAACAGCTTGAACTGATTAATTCCCAATCATAATAAGTTACTGCCTGTGTTGTGACTACAATAAAAACGGGACAGACGGGCATGAGAAGGAATCATTCAAAGTGTTAACGGTAGATGTTCTATGGTTTCATAAGGTACAGAGTATTTATCACAAGATATAAACTTTAGTTTCTAAGAAAAGTAGCATCATTAGTCCGTTATTAGTAATATTAAGGTGTGGTGTGTGTGTAGAAAGAAACAATAATAATGATAAATATAACGATGTGCTGTTGAGCCTACTTTCGAGTAGAAGTAAAAATCATCCTACAAACTGAAGTCAAAGAAGACTGAGGAACTTTAAAAAAAAAAAACAAGCTAAATTATCTGCCCTGTTAGTAGTTTACATCTTTCTGTTATTATGACTGTTCCAGAATTAGAAATTGACAACATCCTGGTGTCTTTAGGCTATTCATTTTGTAAATGCTCATTTTTTGTGGCAATATGACTGTCTATACCATCACTTAAACATCAATACTAATGGTAATAATAATAATAATACATGCTTTCATAAATTATTGTAACCTCCCACTTTGAAATTTGACATCACAGCTTATTTCTGACAACAAATGTACTCAGCAAAAAACTGAACTGCTGAATTGAGGAAACTGCAAATTTGACTTCACATGTTTTTATTAATAACAGAATGAAGAACTTGTCGGTTTACTTTTTATTGGTAGCAAAATTATATCATTTATCTACTGCACTCAAAGAATGAATCAACTTTTTTATGTTTTAAATTTCTGAGGGGGGTGAGATAATAATCTCACTATTATTAAGAATAATGAAATAATGTGAGTTTAAAAAAATTTACAATAGCTATCATGTCAGTTTAAGTGTGTAATGAGATTCAAAATCCAGACTAAAAATGTTTAAAATTAAAGCATGCTGCTTTTGTACATTTGCTGAAAATAACTGCTGTGAAGACTTGAATAATTTTAAATGATAATTCAAGGAAGCCTCACGATGCCAAATTTCTTTCTCTAAGAGAATGAAACTTGACATCTCTTCAGTAAAATATTAAAAAATTCCCTATTTATACTAAAATGTTTACTTTTTTCTTTTTTCCCCCAAGTAATCTAATAAGTATATTCTCAACTTGTTTTGATAAATAAATCTATTAAGCTTTCCAAAGCATGTATGAGAAAAAAGAGAGAGAGAAGAAGAGAGAGAGAGACAAAGGAGGAGGAAGAGGAGGGGAAGGAGAGGAAGAATGGGAAACAGAATGAAGGAAGAGGAGAGAGAAAAAAATTTAATTAAGGTGTTACTTTGTGCCCTGGCATCTGCCAACTTTTAATCTTTATAATTTAGTTGTGGGTGAATTCTTAAATTGACAAGAAAATAAAACCAAGATAAAAGCAAGAACTTCGCTTATGCATAAAAATGCAAATGCTAAACTATGGGGAAAAAATTCCTGCTACCAATAGAATTATAGTTGGACAATCTTTTCTCTCTCTCTCTCTCTTTGAAATGCTCGAAGACATTTTCAGACAAACTACTCATCAATGAAAGACAGTTAATTTCTGACCCTCCAAAAGTGAAAGTAAGTGCTTTTACTGAAGTGTAGTAAAGTCTTGTTACCACAAATTATATTTTCTCCACAATTTTCACTCTTCCTCAGTTCAATTAAATCTCTCACTTTCTTAACATACTGAACCCCTCTTGCCAAATGCTTGAGAATTTCCCATAATTTACACCCACTTCTGTTGGTAATTTCCCTATCTTTGAATGTTTTTTCCTTTCATCAGCTCCAGAGATGAGTTAAAGCAAAAGCTTGGGAAAAGGAAAGTCAGTTTCTGAAAAGCCCAGTGGGAAGGGGTGTGTCTTCAACAGAAATAAAACAATCAAACACAAGGAGAGAAAAATAGGAGATCCAGGAGGGCTCCAGAATTATTCCAGCTCCTTAGGCAGTGTTATGTTTTACTTTAATAGTAAAAATAGTGGTGGCAGACGCTAGCCAGGTTGAAATAATCCTGGAGCTTCTTGGACTCCGTTTAATTTAGTGAAGAGAGGTCCCTCTCTCTCCTGTGCTGCTCTAACCATTCATGCTTCCAGTTCCTTCAACAAGTCCCACCTTCTGAGACAGAAAACATTTAGGAAGAGGAGCAAATTACTTGTGAAGATTGTTCTGCCAGCAGAATAGCTTTCTTTCATTTTATATTTTCCCTTATTTGCAACATTTTACTCTAATCCTCAGGAAAGTATAAAAGATTATTATATTGAGACAATATATACCTTCTTCTATTTATAAACCTTTTGTATGATTCATCTTAAAGGATACACACACACACACACCATATATATATGTACACACACATACTTCCTTTGGTTTTTGAGCTATTCATGCAAACATGAACAAAATATAATGTTCTTTGTAATCACATGCCAAGAAGGTGGCAAAGAATGTGATTTATAGTCTACACATTCCAAAACGCCATATTGCAAATCTTCACAAAACACTCTAGGCTATGTCTACACAATCTCAGCAAAGTGAACAGATACATACTATTTAGTGAATTTGGGTCTGCTCTAACTATAAAACAGAATTTTCTCTTGCTTCAACAATCCACACATACAGGTTGGGCTGGTCCCAGATTCTTGGACAGCTAACGATCCAGTTCAGTTTGCTGTTAGGTTTACCAAAATCTGAAGAAAAAGCTTGTTTTCCAGAGAACCTCAATACATTCTTGAATTGGCCTGTTATTTTTACATTAATAATAGTGTAAGCAGTTGCTTCTAAAATTCTATTCGCCTTGTGAATTAATAGGTTATTTAGATGGTAGAAGTCCCGTAGATGCTATCCTTTGGGTGCGAAAAAGTAGTACTCTTCTAATTGTTAGTTCAGTGAGGTATTCTCTAAAGACAAGGCTTTCTGAGTATTTAGGTAGACAGAGTGTTCATGGTCAAATATAGGACCTCTTTATGGAAGTTAGCCTGTGCATGCACAAGATGGAACAAATTCAAAAAGCTTCTGTCATCTTCATCACGATCTATATGACATACACAGAAATAGACAGCAGGGAAAAGAAAATGACAGTTAAATTTTTACATATATGATTTATTTGAAACATAAGATGTTCCAATTTTCCCTAGTAATACTTTAATAGAAGACTAATTAGTGACCTTTACTAAGTCAGATGTTAACCACTGAAATCACGGAATTATGTAAGAATACTGGATTAGAAAACAGAAGAACAGGCTCCTGGTTCATGTTTTATTGCTTCTAACTTTAAGACCCTGGGCAAATCAGGTAATCTTTCCAAGTCTTAGTTTTCTCATCTGTTAAATAGGGATCATTATCATGTTGGCTACTTAATAAAACTGTAAAATAATATATATAAAAGTATGCTGACAGCAGTACAAACCGAAGGCATTGTTATGACAGTTATGAGAGTTATCAGTGAGCAGTTAAATTTTTCCCTGTACAAAACTGAAGTTGATTCCTTTCAAAGAAGACTCATAATCTTTACATTTTCTGTTAAAATCAATACAAGATTTTGAAAATGACAAAAACCAGGAACAAAGTGTATCTCATGGAAAAACAAAAAAGGTATGTCTGTTTCTTCTGTTGTTAGTTCAGAAATAAAAGTCTAGACAGAATTAGCTGTCTTAAGTGGAAACCAGCATGCATTTTACCTCACACCTGTGCCATCGTCTACAGGAGTACTCACCAGACATAACTAACTGCATCATTTCCATTATAATACATGCAAATGCATTTGCCACACTCTGCAGGAAGTTATTTCTTTCCATTGGCGTGCTAAAGACTTTACAGACTTTTTGCATCATTTTAACTACCCAGTCCATGCAGTATAGTTCTTTTTCACACACCTGATTCAGACATAAAAAGCATTATTGTAAACCTCCATGTAAGAAGCTCTAGAATTTAAAAATGGTATTGACAATGATGGTTTACGATTTCACATAATTTATTAAACTATGATACCATACTGAGTCTATAAATGGGAAATCTCTTACATCCAATACTTCTTTGCTTTCAAATGGTGCAATTTTAGTGGGAAAATGTGTTCAGTAAGTAAAAGTCTGGCTCAAGATGATCATATATAATTATTTCTTAATGTAAGCAATAATATTTAAAACAATTATTGAATATATGAAAAAGAAGATTCCTGGTCATTCACTCATTCAGTAAGTATTCATTGAGCATCTGCTAAAAGCTGGAGCTACAATGATGAGCCATAAAGACATGGCCTCTATTCTCAATGAGTCCAGTGAGAGTGACAGATAAACGGGTAATTTCAATAGGCAGGAGAACTACATGTATTACCAACTTTCTATCATCAGAGTTTTAAGGGATATTTATCTCTCTATTATTAAAAAGGTAAACATTTAAAGTAAAGATTACATGTTCATGGCTAAAATTGACTGAAAGGTGAAAGATTTATTTACTAACATTCTACATGACCAATTTAACTCACATAGTCAAATATATAAGGTATAGCAAGAAAAGAAACTGCAGAGTAGTATAACTAAATATCAATCTGACAAGAAAGATTTATTGATTATCTATTCTGTGTAAAGCACTGTACCAGGCACTATGAAAGAAACAAATGACAGCTCTGGATTTCAAAGAACTTGCGATCTATTTTGAGAGATGACTTTACCCCACACATACTTAAGAACACTATCAGTAAACAAAGTTAAAGAGAAGACAAATCTGAGGCTATTTAGAGAAAATTAATGATCAGAGTTGAGATGTTAATCAGAGATGGGTATCTAGAGAAGGCTTTTCCACTCCTAGTCACTTCTTCTCCATTCCGTTTGCTATACTGCTGCCAAAGTGACCTTCCAAAAACACAAAACTGGTCATGTTTTCCCCCTTTTTAAACTTTCCAATAGCTCCCTATTAGAGGACAGGTTCAAGCTCCACAGAACGGCCTACAAGGCCCGCCCTTAGCTAGCCACTCCCTCACTGTCTGGCCTCACCTCCTGCTGCTCCTCTTCTGCACATTTTACCCTTCAGAAATAATACTGAATTGCTTACAGTCCCCTGAATATATCTACTGTGTTTCACTTCTCTGGGTCTTTGCACATACTGTTCCTGCTGTCTTGAATAATTTGCCATCTGCCTGGTGATAACCTCCTGTTCATTTCTAAAAACCTGTATCTACTGGGATTTGGGAAACCCTCTCTGTGCTCTTCACCCTAGATAGTCCCTCCTCTCTGCTACCTCTGTTTGTACCTTTTTTTAAACATATATTTTTGCACTTATCTCACTGAATTTCAGTTTACTTATATATACCTTGGTATTTCTTAAAAAACTGCAAGCAGCTTATGGTCAGAGACTGTGTTCTATTAATTTCCATAGTCCTAGAATCCCACACAGTTTACACCTATAATAAGCACTTAATATATTTGTGTTAAATGAATGAGTATGAAGTATATTTTTAACTTTTTATTTTGAAAAATATTTTAATTATACAAAAGTACAGGACAGTATAATGAATCCCTAGTACCCACCCTCCCAGCTTCAACAATGACCAATCTTGAGAACTGCACGTATTACCAACTTTCTATCTTTCCTCCCCATTCACTTTCACATCCCCCTGACATTGATTGTTTTAAAGCTAATCAAATGGGATGCTTTCTTAAAATAAAATTTTTAAAAAGAATGTAACTTCGCAGAGCTGTCTAATGACAATCTAGACATGAAGCAGGGAGAGAATAATATAACGAATGCTTCCAAATAGGATAGCTTATTAGACATATTTTAACATTTTGAAGAAGGAATATTAAAAAATTTATACTTAAATACTTCTTCTTTCAAAATGTTTTGTGCATATTTCAGTTCCTTTATGGAACTTTCCCAGTAGTTGATGGTTATGTTAGACAACATACTAGAAAAGCTTTGTTTTTACTTACCAAAGCCAAGAAGACTATCAGCCTTGCCAGTTCAGTGGCCCGTCCATTCACAGCTTTGCTAGCCATGAAAGTGAAACATATGTTGTTCCCACTTAAGATTAGGAGGCGTGCATTATTCTCTAGCAGCCACTCACGGGGAACCACTTTTATTAGAGGAAGAACAGTTATTCAATGAGAAATCACACAATAGCTATAGTAACCATCATTAAATATTATGTCACTTTATTGGAAATAGAATTAGTGCCACAGGAAAAGCTCAGAAAAAATGCTTCAGTTTTTCAATTACAGCATTCAACTGGAGATAGAGAGTATTGCCATGTCATGGTGGCTCTTACAAATGTACTAGAAATATAGTCAAGACAATGCTCCTACCCATAGATTAGAAGGCCAGATGGTCTAATGCTGTGTAAGGAAAGAAACCTTATAAACTTTAGAATCTAAAGGATTATTCGGGAATGGGAAACATTGTTTCAGCTCTCCTATGCCAACAGGAGAGGGCTTTCTTTCTTACCTTACTGTGGAGGGTGTTTCTGAGAACGTGCAAAATGGGAAAAATTAAGCTAATTAAAGTATGAAGCTTTCAAATAGTAATAATACAGATAGATATAAAATTTGGTAATGGAAAGAAAGTAAGTTGATTATAAGGTCCCTGGGTGGTACAAATGGTTAAGTGCTCTATGGTTCAAACCCACCCAGAGGCACCTCTGATGACAGGCCTGGTGATCTGCTCCTGAAAGGTCATAGCCTTGAAAACCCTGTGGAGCAGTTCTACTCTGCACACATGTGGTCACGTGGGGTCATCATGAGCCAGAATTGACTGGCTGGCAATTAACAACATATGTTGATTATATGCATTCTCTTCAAACATAAAGCCAAACTTTTCAAATACTTTAGAGCATTTAGTGATTTCCAATAGGCAATTCATTTGTTACCTGTAGAATTATCATTACAATTTTATAATCGTATTCTACTAAAAATTTTCTATCATTCTATGTTGGTAAAGATATATTTTTACCTGATAGTTCATCTACAAGACTGATGACATCATCTGCTGTCCACTCTTTAGTGTCTGCGTCATATAGTAACTTAATGGCATCAGCCAAACCTTTCAGACTGGATTCATCTGTAGGTCCTTCTACCATTTTCTGCCAAACCACCTGTCCTGAATGATAATTGAAATAAAAACTAGGCTATGACAGAATAGTTGGCTTTGTGATAAAAACTTCATGGATTATTTAAAAAAGGGAATTGGATTAGAAAATGCAATCCCATTACTTGTACTACTATTTTCATAATGGAAGTCAATTCTGATTATAATAAATTTTAATGCCTCTTACTAATGTGACAAAGCACAGCAACAAAAGCTAAATGAAGAAAATAAAAGGTAGTTTCACCAAGCAGAAGAGTGCTTCTAGTTCAAAGATAACACTATCCGCATACCAGATATTGGAATAAACAACTGATGTAATCTTACTAAAATAGATGAAAACTTACTGATATTCTTCCTAAAAGACCAACATGATATATTTGAGAATCTCTCAAATATTTATATCAAAAAAAAGTAATTCAGTCAATTTTTTATTCTTCATCTATGACCAATTTTCTTTGTGGATTACACACAACAAAATTTTAATCCCAGGTTGGCTTCCTGCTGCAAGTCAGCGTATTTAAACTGGCTGCCTCCTAACATAAGTCAATGAGAACTAAAGATATTCACGCTAATTCTAACATTAATCTAAACCAAACTAAATTACAACGGCAGAGATGATGGGAATATATTTGGTAATGGCCTACAGCAGAAAAAGTTCTGCCTTGAAGCTTAGATACTGCACAAGTTAATGTAGTATACATCTATGAAATCATGAAACACAGTTTAGTCATTAGGAATGATGAAACTGAGCAGGTACAAAAAGATATGTTTTCTTAAGTGAAAATAATTAATCAGTTATATAACATACATCCCTGAAAAATGGGTGCTCACCATCCTGAGGAGATATTGGCCCGAAGATGATATATAGTAGTCTTGCCTGATTCACCATAGGCCATGGTTTTAATATACGAGTTAACCAAAAAGCAGAGTCACTTCGATGTGTCCAATGATCAAGTAGGACATTCCTACAGAATAGCCTGATCCTTAACTCCAGTTTCCGGGCACTTCCTATAAGGACAGAAGTGTAAATTCATCTTCCTAGAAGGACTGATAGGCATATTGGATAGTGATCAGAGTAAGTATTAACCACTGTGGTTTGTGATCTTAAACAGGAAGTAAACAAGAGATTATCTGTTGTTAAACTGCCCTAACTTCATGGTTTTAACTATCTACTTACTCTTTCCTGTTTTATGTATGATACTTTGAATAATAGCTCAATCAAAAGATACGCTTGTTTACCAGAATCTCATAAAAGATTTTGGATTTTAAAAGAAATAAATGCAGAGAAAGGTCAAACACATATATCATCAATGTGTTTTGTATTGAAAGAGTTACTTCATTTTCCTCCAGAAAAATTCTGGATTCTCAAGGTTCTATTTTCTCAGCATTTATTGAGCTTCCCTTATTGTCTTCATGCATCCACTCTTGCCCTCTCCTATCCATTTTATACTCAACAGCTGGAGTGGTCTTCTAAAATCTAAGTTTGGATCCATCTTGTTTTTCTGAATTAGAGTAAAATCTAAACCATGGTCGCAAGACCTTTGGTGATCTAATCTTTCATCACTTACCACTCCCTTACTCTGCCCTGGCCACCCTGGTCTTTTGACAGTACCTGAAGCCCTGGTGGCACAGTGGTTAAAGTGCTCAGCTGCTAACTGAAAGATCAGCAGTTCAAACCCACCAGCCCCTCTGCAGGAGAAAGATGTGGCAGTATGCTTCCGTAAAGATTACAGCTTTGGAAACCCTATGGGGCAGTTCTATTCTATCATATAGGGTCTCCATGAGTCGGAATCCACTTGACGGCAACGGGTTTAGCTTTTTTTTTTGGCAGAGCGTATTAAACTCTCTTATGCCTCAGAGTCTTGTACTTCATGTACCTATGCCTAGAACCTTGTACAGTACTTGAGCCTTTATGATGGCTGGCTCCTTCCCAATCTTCAGGGATCAGCTTAAATATTACCTCCTCACAAAGATCTTACCTGACAACCCTAGTTAAAGTTAGCCCTTCTTCGCTCTGGTTTTTATGTAAAGAGCACCCTGTTTACTTCTTTCACAGTACTTCCCACAACCTATAATTATTTTATTTATTGTGTTTTTCCCAATTAAAATGCAAGCTCCATGAAGAAAGGGTCTAGGTCTGTCTCGTTTATAGAGCTTGACAGGTGGTAGATCTCAGGAAATCTCTGTTGAATGAATAGATATGCCAGGCACTATTTAGGAGAATGCAGATTACTAAACTTCTATTTTCTTTTCAATGAATCAAGTTGTGAAGAAGTGTAAATTAAAGTCCTTTTCTTCAAAGAGTGTAGAGTTTTGTTAGGTAGATAAAACAAGTATCAATGAAAAGTCTACTAAAGATCAAAGGCCGTATATAAGTACTCCCTGGTGTGTTAAGGCAAGAGACACAGAAGTTTAGAAGAGAGATTGCTCCAGTCCTAGGGAAATCAGATAAGCCTCTGCAGAGGTGACCAGGTAAATTGGGTACTGAAGGATGAGAAGGGATGGTATTTCAGGAAACAGAGACAGAATGAAAAAAGGTACTAAGGTAAAAATGTGTAAGGTGTGTCTGAGACACAGAGTAAGAATAATATGACTATGTCATACTGATACAGACAGTAGTGGGTGATAAGCCTGAAAAAGCAGGTTGAGACTAGAATGTGAAGGTCAGTATAAATAGTTTGAATTTTATTTTGAAGGCAATAGGGAGCTATAAAAGTTTCTGATCAAGAGAGGGACATGATAAATTAATTTTGTCACAGTATCATTGGGGCTTCTAAATCTGCCTTTTTGATCCATAATTTGTTTTATAATGAAATATTTCAAGCTGACAGAAAAGCAGAGGTACTATAACAAATATTATATACCAATCACTGAGCTTTGTCAAAGCTTTATTTTTTGCTATATTTGCTTTGGATTTTTAAAAATAAATAAAACATTACAGATACAATTAAAGCTTCTTGTATATCACAACCCAATCCCATTATCCTCCTCCCCAGAGGTAATCACTAGCCTGAGCTTGGCTTTTATCACTCCCAACTGTGTTTTTATATATATATTTTTACATATGTATGTAACCATAAAGAATATATAGTATTGTTTTGTTTGTTTTTAATATGTATACAAATGGTATACTCAAAGTATCTTTCAACAATCTTTTTTCCTCAACATTATGTTTTGAGATTTATCCATATTAATACACATGGCTCTAGTTCATTCATTTTGACTACTGATGGTTTTAACTGTATAACTATACCACAATTAATTTATCTAGACTCCTGATAATGGGCACTTAGATTGTTTGCAGCTTTTCATGGTTACAAACAAAGCTGCAATGATCATTCCTGTACATGTTTCCTTGTGTGCAGTGTGGGTGTTTCTCAGAGTGAAAGTACTAGATTCTGGGTTCCATAATTTTAAGAATATGAAATATTTTAGGTATACAGAAAGGTTTAAAGAATACTATAATAGACCAATGGAACAGAACTGAGAACCCAGAAGTAAATCCATCCACCTATGGACAGCTGATCTTTGACAAAGGATTGAAGTCCATTAAATGGGGAAGAGAAAGTCTCTTTAACAAATGCTGCTGGCAAAACTGGATATCCATTTGCAGAAAAATGAAACAAGATCCATACCTCACACCATACACAAAAACTGACTCAAAGTGGATCAAAGACCTAAATGTAAAACCTCAAACTATAAAGATCATGGAAAAAAAAATAGAGACAATGTTAGGGGTCCTAATATATGGGATAAATAGAATACCAAACATAACTAACAATGCATAAACAGCAGAAGATAAACTAGATAACTGGGATCTCCTAAAAATTAAACACTTATGCTCATCAAAAGAATTCGTCAAAAAAGTAAAAAGAGAACCTACAGAGTGGGAAAAAATTTTTGTCTGTGACATATCCGACAAGGGTCTAATCTCTAAAATTTATAAAAAACTTTAATATTTAAACAATAAAAAGACAAACAATCCAATTAAAAAATGGGCTGAACAGGCACTTCAAAGAAGACATTCAGGCAGCTAACAAACACATGAAAAGATGTTCGCAATCATGAGCCACTGGAGAGATGCAGATCAAAACTACAATGAGATCCCATCTCACCCTGGCAATAATGGCACTGATTTAATAACAAACAAACAAAACAGAAAACAACAAATGCTGGTGAGGTAGTGGAGATATTGGAACCCTTATACACTGCTGGTAGGAATGTAAAAATGGTACAACCACTATGGAAAATGATTTGGTGCTTCCTTAAAAAGCTAGTAATAGAAATACTGCATGATCCAGCAATCCCACTCCTAGGTATATATCCTAGAGAAATAAGAGCTGTAACACAAATAGACATATGCACACCCATGTTCACTGCAGCATTATTCACAATAGCAAAAAGATGGAAACAACCTAAATGCCCATGAATGGATGAATGGAAAAACAAACTGTGGTACATACACACAATGGAATACTGCAACAATAAAGAAAAATGATGAATCTACGAAACATCTCACAACATGGATGAATCTGGAGGACTTCATGCTGAGTGAAATCAGTCAATCACAAAAGGACAAATATTGTATGAGATGACAATTATAAAAAGTCAAGAAAAGGTTTATACACAGAAAGAAATATTCTCTGATGGTTACCAGGAAGGGGAGGAGGAGGTAGGGAAAATCACTAACTAGCTAGTAGACCATGTTAACTTTGGTGAAGGGAAAGGCAATACACAATATGGGGGAAGTCAGCACAGCATGAGCAAGGCAAGGGAAGACACTGAGAGAGGTAGGACAAACGGAAATGGGGAACTCAGGGTGGTAATGGGGAGAGTGCTGACACATTGTGGGGATTGCAACCAATGTCATGGAACAATCTGTGTATAAATTATGGAATGGGAAACTAATTTGCTCTGTAAACCTTCACCTAAAGCACAATTAAAAAAGAGTACTATAATGAACACCTTTGTACCCACCACCCAGTTTAAGGTATAAAATAGTATCAGCACAGCTGAAGGCCTCTGAGCATTTTTCTTTCCTCAATCACACGTCCCTTTTTGCACCCCTATCCAATTCAGTGTTTATAATTCCCTTATATTTCTTTGTCCTTTTACTAAATATGTATGCCATCATTTATTTTTAAATATACTTTTGAACTCTGTATTCTTTTTTTTTCTATTTTAATCTCTGCATAATACCCTCTGTGAATTGTAGTTCTTTACCTGGTTTACTGCAGACAACAGTCTGCATCTTGCGGGAGAGATTGGTCAGCTCACATAAGAAGTTATAAACACGATGGCACTCGAGTTCATCCCAACCTGCTGTTAAGGTCTGAGGATAGTAAAATAAAGGAAACATTGCAGATGTTCAGACCATCAAACTGAAATACAAGTCACTACTGCTTTATGAGCATAACTTGTAGTAACTGATCAAGGTGATATGCAATTTTCATCCACTATGGAACTGTCTGGAAACCCTGGTGGCGTAGTGGTTAAGAGCTATGGCTGCTTCAAATCCACCAGACACTCTTTGGAAACTCTATGGGGCAGTTCTACTCTGTCCTACAGGGTCACTATGAGTCGGAATTGACTTGACAGCAATGGATTTTTTATGGAACTGTTCAAATTAATAAGAAATTTTACATAAATAAGACCCAGAAATTCTCCAAAATCCACTTTACTTTTAGTTGGGAAGGGAGTATCTTTTCAGAGAACTTCTAAATACTAGTCAATCCTGAACTCTGACAGTTCATAGAAAATAACAAAGTAAGGCCAAAGCCCTAGAAGACAGCTTTTAGCATCTGACTCACAACCATAATGTATTTTAGTTTTAGAGTAAAGCATCAGTGATTATAGTAGAACCTCTTTAACCCCCTCTGGCTATGATTTATGATATTGCTTACAAATGATGATGATGTCATTTTAATGTGGCATTTATTGGCACTTATTTATGATATTTGGATGTGAACAAGCAAATGCATTTTTATTAGATCAAAATTTAATAATTATCTTTGAGCAAACTAGAATAGACAGTCAAAACATATATAAAAAGGAGATTCAAATGGTAAGCCATACAATTAGATTTTGAAAGGGTTATTGATCACATAAATTCTTCTTAAAATAGTTGAATTGGATTCCATCAGTTTAAAAATTAGTAGTATTCTCTCTGTAAGGATCCACAAGAAACTGTTAACAGTGGTAACTTCTGGTGAAGGGAACTCAGTGGACAAGGGACAGGCCTGGGAGGGAGGTTAACTTTTTACTTTATACCATTTTATACTTTTATATGAATACCATTTTGAATTTTACATGAACACATGTGCATGTATTACCTGTTCCAAAGAAATAAAAAACAAAACTAAGACCTGACTTGGAAAAGAAAGCTAGTAGGAGGGCCTAGGTTCCGGGAATCTGGGTCTCCAGGAGATGGTGGCTGACAGGCTGAGACACAGAGCTAAATTTTCCCATGTACCAATGCTTGCTGAGAGGAGAGATACAAAGACACCCTGGTGCTAAACAGACCACAAAAAAAGAAGGCGGCAGGCCATTGGAGGGCTGAAAACTATAACCCCACAGAACCCCTATGATGTGAAAATTCAGGGGGAAACACCCACCTCCCCCATAAAGTACAACTTTCTTCTTATTTAGAAGCAACTTTAAAAAAATAAATCCTTAAGTATAATCCCTACACTTATATAGTTTTTACTTTGAGAAGCAGCATGGTAATGGTTAAAAGTGTTGACTCTGCAGTTACACTTGCTGGCTGTTTAACCTTCGGCAAATTACTTCACCTCCCTGTGCCTCAGTTTCCTCATCTGCAAAATGAGGATAATAACTACGTACCTCATAAGGTTGTTATAAGTGTTAAATTAATTAATACATGTAAACAGCTTAGAATAGTGTCTAAAACATAGTAAGGCTCCATAAATGCTAGTTATTATTATTACCTTCTTTGCTTACAATAAAAGATTAGTCAGAAATGTTCTTGAAATTAATAGTTGATTTCTAAAATCACACCTTAAAGAACTAGCCCAAGTCTTTAAACTCATTTCATAAATTTTTTAAAAACTCACAATATTTCTTGTTTTTATAAGGCTTTTGGAAATCTAGGGAGGACACTGGTGTAGAATAAATAAACGTTACACATTTCTCACCAGTGCAAAACCCAAGAAGAAAAACTGAAGTAGAAAACATACTGTTACATTAATACATTCTCAAATCTTTAAAATTTTGTTTTGCTCTCTTTAAGACTATTATGACTTCTATTAATCTAAGGAAAGACAGATTTACATGCTCTACTTATCAACAGTTCAAAAAGTATTCCTCTTCTTCTGGCATTAAAAGAAGTACCTGTAAAAACATGCCATAACATGGTAATCCTAGACACTGTATAGGAGCTGCACAGCCACTGAATTTAAAACATGAAACCTGTAAAAAGAACAACTGTTAATTCTTCCTTTTCAGTAGAACTGTACAGTGATTTGACATTCAAATTTAATGGAAATGAGCAAGATTTTTTGTCAGTATATGTTCTCCTTATGTTATATAGATTGGGATAACAAAAGAAGTATAAAGCAAAACCCCTGCCCTCAAGGAGCTCACAATTTATTTAGGAAGATATACACAAGTGCAATTATTATAATAATTCAGCTAGAATCTGTATAAATGCTAAAATGACTGAACACTCTACTTTGGACACTGATGAAAACAGGGAAAAGGTAAATTTGGAAATGATCAAGAAAGGATATGAGACAAGCAATGTCTTAAAGTATTGGTAGGATTCGGATCAAATAAATAGAAACGATTGTTGAAGGAAATAAGAATAAATTTGTATGGAGGTAGGAATAAACAAGGTTTATTCAGGGACGAATGGTATGAGCAGCTCAATTAGGTTCAAAGTAGTAGGTAGTAAGGTTGTATTATCAGGGAGAACCCTAAATGCTGCTATAGAGCTTTGATCTTATCTTGCTGAAACTAAGCAGTCACTGAAAGATTTTTAAGCAAGAAACTTAACTTGATGAAAGTGATGATTTCAGAAGAATAACCTTGATTTAGAGTACAGAATGAGTTGGGGAGGGAAGAAATAGATGGTAGAAGAATCAGCTGGGAAGCTGTTGCAATAATATAGAATTGAACTCAGTGCAAATACTGACATGAAAAAAGCTGGTGCATCAGAAACAGTATGCATACTATTGAGTGCAGAACTGAATCATCAGAGTTGGATGTCTGGGTTTGTACGGTAAAACTTATATAGAGACTATGGCCAAACAACGAACACGATGCATGTTTCCAAGTCTATTATCATAAAAGGTTTGTCATTTTATATATTAAAAAATACTTTCTTATGTTTTTGCACATTAAGTAATAAGGCCGTAACATTCAGAAGTTAACACATTTTAATAAAATACCTAAACACCACTTTAAAACTTTCACAGGATTCCTATGTGGGGTAAAAATACGTTTATATTCTGAGAAACTTAGCAAATCTGAATGATATACTTAGTTATATAAAATTTGTTTTATAATAAGTAAGACCACTATACGGTATTTCAGGAGCCCTGGTGGCACAGTGGTTAACTGCTTGGTTGCTAACTGAAAGTTTGGTGATTCGAATCCACCAGCCGCTCTTCGGGAGGAAAGACCTGGAGATCTGCTCATGTAAAGATTACAGCGTAGGAAACCCTATGGGGCAGTTCTATTCTGTCCTATAGGATCACTATAGGTTGGAATCGACTCGACGGCAAATAGCATACTGTATTTTGGTGTTCTATAGTGGTTAAGAGCTACAGCTGCTAACCAAAAGGTTGGCAGTTCAAATCCACCAGGCACTCCTTGGAAACTGTATGGGGCAGTTCTATTCTGTCCTATACGGTTGCTATGAGTCAGAATCGACTCCACGGCAACGGGTTTGGTTTTTGGTTTTTTTATAATCTCTAAGTACTTGGTAAAGTATTAGATTATCATCAGTTAATTATTTCGTACTAATTCTTAAAATTCTACTAATTAAAGATAGATTTAAAAGTAGTCTACTATCTTCATAAAACATCTTTATTGGAAATCAAGTTTGTAATTTTATTCAGAAGTATGATCTTACTTCCGCAAGTATCTTGTGAATGTACTTTAGCCTTTCCTTTGTCGGTAGCAGCAACGTGCATCTTTTAAATAGTAGACCTGAGAAAGTAAAGAGACACACATGAAAAAATAACAATGCAATTAATTTAAGAATATAAATAAAGCACAGCAAAACCTTTCCTGAAAGTCAGGTATGGTATATCACAGTGGACTCTAGCTGATACATAATATATTTTTAAATTGTGGTAGAATACATGTAACATTTGCCATTTTAACATGTACAATTCGGTGACTTTAATTACGTTCTCCATGTTGTGCAGCCATCACCATTATCCATTTCCAATTTTTTTCATCATCTTTAACAGAAACTCAGTACCCCCTAATCAGTAACTCCCCATCTCCCCCCGGCCCCGCCCCTGGTAACCACTAAGCTGCATCTGTGCATTTGCCTATTCTAGATACTTTATATAAGGGGGATCATAGAATATTTGTCTTTTTGTGTCAGTATAAAGTTTTCAAGGCTCATCCATGTCATAGCATGTATCAGAACTTCATTTCTCTTTATGGCTGAATAATAGCTGATATGGTTTTTCTAAGGGAAAGTTTGGGAGGAAGGGTGCAAAGTCCTTACAATACATGAGCTTTACCAAGTGACTGTGATGTGCATCCAAGAGGCATTGGCAAAAACCTTGCAAAAAAATGTGAAATTGCTACTATGGGACAGATGTGAAAAACTATTTAGATTTAAAAAGATATAATAGTAAAACATGATTGATAATAAAATAATACAATAATAAAACAAACTTGATTTTGTCTTTATTCCATAGAAAACAGATTTTAGTATCTATTGAAATTAACCTCATGTCCATAAAGGAAAATGTTTTAAGAGTTGCTAATATAAAACACAGCAAGAATGAGAAAAGAGATGTTGTATTTCTTTTTCCAAATACAAAAATTTAAAGGCATAAATACTTAAAATTTCAGAAGTTTGAAGTCATTTGTATTCACAGAAAATATTCAGTTTAAATATCTCTCTCTTCCTTCAAAAATATCCTTTTAAGGGATTTTCATGTTAAGAATGTATAATTTAAAAAAAACTCTCAATCTGACAGTGAGATATTTAACTTGAACTACAGTGACAGGAAGTGTATGATTTGTTTCCTCTGACTTTAAGTGGTCTGTTTTCCTAAAATGGCAATACATTGCTAACATTCCTATAAGAGTAAATGTCCTCAAACTAAAAATAAGATATGTGGTAGGAAAATATATACCTGAATATTATGACTTCCTTCACTTTTCATCTTTTCTGCATCTTACATAATACAATATATTATTTTTATATAATTCTGTAGACTCTATGGGAATCTAACTTATTTTCAGACGTTGCTATGTTTGGGTAACACAAGACCAGAATTGAGTTTTAAACATAAATCCTCCTTATTTTTGTACATAAAAAGCCATTTTCAGTGTTTGGTTTTTAGGTTGTTGAGTTCTTTTTCTCTCATACTTTGGCATCCAGTCCCATGTCATCTCATAGTTGGGGGATTGTAAGCTATAATTGTATGTTGGTTGCCTTTTCTAATGTAAAACTCCTATTTTTAAGGGTTGCAACTTGCCATAAAAACCAACACTGGGTGCTTTTTTTTTTTTCTTAACACAGGTGCTGTCCTATACCCTTTAGAGACCAACTTCTTTAATTTCTTCTCCACAAAAATAGAGTCAGATATAATGTCCTCTCCACACTGGCCATCTGTCTGCTTTGTATGAAGAAGCAAATTAAAATTTATAATCTTCACAGTGGACAAGAATTAACTTAGGTGAAGGGAACGACAACACACACTACAGGGGAAGTCAGCACAATTGGACTAAACCAAAAGCTAAGAAGTTTCCTGAATACAACTAAACACTTTGAGGGACAGAGTAGCAGGAGCAGGGGCCTGGGGACCATGGTTTCAGGGGACATCTAGGTCAATTGGCAGAACAAAGTTTATTAAGAAAATGTTCTGCATCCCACTTTGGTGAGTTGCATCTGGGGTCTTAAAAGCTAGCAAGCAGCCATCTAAGATGCATCATTTGGTCCCAACCCACCTGGAACAAAGGAGAATGAACACCAAAGACACAAAGAAAGTATCAGCCCAAGAGACATAAAGGGCCACATAAACCAGAGACTTCACCAGCCTGAGACCAGAAGAACTAGATGGTGTCTGGCTACCACCAATGACTGCCCTGGCAGGGAACACAGCAGAGAGTCCCTGATGGAAGAGGAGAAAAGTGGGGTGCAGAACTCAAATTCTAGTAAAAAGACCAGACTTAATGGTTTGACTGAGACTGGGGGGACCCCAGAAGACACGGCCCCCGGACTCTCTGTTAGCCCAAAACTAAAACCATTCCTGAAGCCAACTCTTCGGACAAAGATTAGACTGGATTATAAGACATAAAATGATACTCGTGAAGAGTGTGCTTCTTAGCTCAAGTAGATACCTGAGACTAAATGGGCAGCTCCTGTCTGGAGGTGAGATAAGAAGGCAGAAAGGGACAGGAGCTGGTTGAATGGACACAGGAAATCCGGGGTAGAAAGGAGGAGTGTGCTGTCACAGTACAGGGAGAGCAACTAGGATCACATGACAATGTGTGCATACATTTTTGTATGAGAAACTAACTTGAATTGTAAACTTTCACTTAAAGCACAATTAAAAAAAACATTAAGAAAAAAATTATACTCTTCAGAGTGCAGGATTCTGAAAATGTTGTTTTATTGTCTGGAAACAAGAACAGATCAGACAGGAATGGCAATATGAGAAAATGGTAGGTATGTCAAACATTTACCTGAAGAATCAGTAATAAGCCAGACGTCCACATCAAAATTAAATGCAAGGTTGAAGTTATTGCATGAATAAAACCATTTAAAATCTAGCTATTAAGGTCAATATATTTGTAATTTTAACTGAATTATCCACATAACTGTCTTAATGCTTTATTTCGTTTAAGCAGTTAAGACTTGCTCACAGAGAAAAAAATCGCCAGTTTTTTCTTTCAGATCAAAATCAAAGGATAAGCTCTATTACCAAGATCCACTTCCCCTGAAACTAACAGTATTTGAAAAAAAGACATTTATAATGAGAAATAACAAAAAGTAACTGTCATATTCTATCATTTAGATTACTAAGCCTAATCATAAATATTGAAACCAACAATGCTGTTAATCAGATAACATACATTTCGTCTTATTAAACATACTTATCAAATATAGTTTGATGTATATACACATCTATATAGCCTAATTTTATTATCTTAAAGTTAAGCTTTCTTGGGAGACTAACAGGCAATACTCACTTAGCTTACTATTATGTCTTTAACTCAACGTCACCTTGATATTTGGTTTTATTGTCATGCCTTGGTTAACTATACGGTGGTTTTGTAATTAAATTGGTGTCATTAATTAAGTCAAAATTAAAATTGTATTTCTATACTCTTAGGGAGAATGAAATCAATGAATGGGGTGAAAGACATAACTGACTACAAACCAAGGTAAGAAAGATTATACAAAACTTTCTTTGGTAAAGTCAATTGAATTGTAGCATAATGTTTTTAGTAAATATGGAGAGTGCTTAAAAAGAAAAAAGGAAACCATAGTTTCTGATAAAAGAATAAATGATCTTCCACAATAATGTCTTTCAATTTCTTTTTTATTTTTAAGGACTAGATTATGATTGAAAAGGTATAGAAATAAACTCACTAGATCCACAGGGAGTGAAGCAAAGAAAATACATCAGTTTCTTAAGCTGGTAAGCCACCTAAGACAATAAGCATAGGTGACACCGCGTCCACACGAAATCACAAAGACTGACACTTTACATTAAAGTACATCCTTTCATCTTTACAGATAAATGCAAGGGACTGTTGTCAAGAAAGTTCTCATACTGGAAAGACTAAAAGCATCATAGAAATAGTCACTTATTAGGGACAATTTCACAGTGGGGGTATGGCTCAGTGGTAGAGCATTTGACTGCAGATCAAGAGGTCCCCGGTTCAAATCCGGGTGCCCCCTCTCTGTTCTTTAAACCTTATGTTTGGAAACCCTGGTGGTGTGGTGGCTAAGAGCTATGGCTGCTATCCAAAAAGGTCAGCAGTTCAAATCCACCAGGCGCTCCTTGGAAACTAGGGGGCAGTTCTACTCCATTTACCATTGGCATTACAGAATTGTGTGATAAAATCTCCTTAATTAAGCATAGTTCTTTACTTGTTGCAATTCTCATTATATAAATTACCTAGAGATCTGTAGTGGTCCAGTATAGCAGAGTCTTGTCTCCTTCCAGACAGCTCAAGCTTATGAAAGTCTTGCAGTAAAAGTCTTTTGTTTCCTGATGAGCTTGAGATATAATTAATAATGTGCTGGCTGACTGCTTTAGACACCATGCTTAACATGCTGATATCTTTTACTACCAAAGAGGGGGAAAAAAGAATGGCTTACATGCAAGAACATCACTATTAATACAATCTATTAACTTATAAGCTAACTCATTAATAATAGTAAAAATAATAAGTCCAGTGGGGAAAAAAGGGAAAAATCTTAAAATTATTTTAAATCCAGTTTCCAATTAATTAGAACTATGTTGAGCAAAATAATCAAGTTACCACGTCATTAATTAGAGGCCTGCTTTAAAGAGTTTGAGTATCATGCTTTCTCATTGTACCCTTAGCTAACAATGCTCAAACATTAGAAAATAAACTTAATGTGAACTCCACTAACATTTTGGCAGGGCCAAAGATGACAAACTAGTTTTTGAGAAAAATAAAAATATTAGTGTCTTCTGTAGCCTACTCATATAGTCCTCAAACCTCACCTGTCAAATATTTTAAGATTATCTGAAATATTTCCAATGGTAAGGCTTTAAAATTTCCAAGCGTTGATAAGGGCTGAGAATCAGAGTCAAAGGCTTTGGAAAGATAGCAGGATCGACGATTACTTCGTCTATATTTCTGGTTGGGGATCAAAGTGAAGTTGGTATTTATTCTAGATGTCATCTTTTTTCTTATCTCATAAATTTCTCCTGGTTAGAAAAAGCACAAAAGACAAAGAAGGAAGGATATTAAAATGATGAAGAGCTGTTGTTTTTTAACGAAGAAGTTGCAACTTGAATGGGCAATAGCTGTCTCTTCATATTTATAAAAGTTTTAATATGATGTCCAATACATGGAATTTTCCAACAGTAGATTCTACTTATTCATCTCAGCATCATTTGAAATATTTTAGAATTCTCTATTGCTTGGTCAAATACGATAGACAGAATAAGAGTTTTAGTTGAAAATGAGATATACACATGTGTATTTGGATGCGATATACTCTAAGAAAAATGCAAAATAGAAAAAAAGTAAAAGTTTTAACACAAAAATCAATATAATAATATAAAATACATTCAATATCTATCAATTAGTATGTTACTTTTGCAATCTTTATATTGTAAAAAAAATCAAAGTATTAATGTAGTTTTAAATTTTGTAGTAATTTCTGTCTGTTAAAACTGAGTAGACATATTCTTTTGTTAGAAACGATAAAAACAAAGATAAAAAAATAGAGACTTTAAGTTTAGAGCTATTTAAATTTACTAGCTCTAATAGCTTAAGTAGGTTGTATTGCTATTACCAATTATGGGCTCTATAATACACAAACAGGCAGTGAAATTAAAGTCGTATAAAATTAGTAAGACTAGGATAAGTAAATGAATAATAACAGCTCTTCCCTCAATTTCACTTTTTGTTATAATAATTACTGATAAATCTTACAATGGGCCTGTACAACTTGATTTCAAAGATGGACATTTCCTAAAAGAATTTATTAAACTAATTATTTATTTATACTAAACAACAATGGTCTTTTGTATGGCTATGTATATGTACATATGTATATGTATGCACATCTGTATGTATGTGTGTATATATATGGGTTTTATATCTATATGTATGTACGTATATATACGTATGTGTATATATATGTATGTATGTATGGCTCCTTGTTCCTGAAATAACAACTAAGACAGTTCATCAAAGAGTTAGAAATATATCTGGCCAAAAAGCATTTTTTTCCTTTGGGCACAAAACTGCTAAAATCACTTTGTTATTTATTCATCTTAAAAGGTTACATATCAACTTATACCGATTTAGCACTATTATATATTTGAAAACATGACACAGAAATTTAGTGCTTAGTGGAAAGCATCATCTGAAACTCCTTTAAACCAATACCAGGGTACTTTGCTTCAGCATTCAATGAGCATTTAAATTAGTAGATATTTTAAATAATCACTAAAATTATACAAATAACATGTTCATTGGTGAAAAGTTTATAAAATACAGCTAAACAAAAATAAAATTAGATTCACTTATAACACTTTGGTTTATACCCTTCTAGAATTTTACATGTATATAAATACGTATTTTTAACAAAAAAGGGGGGAGGGTCACACTATTCATATTATTTTGTAATCTGCTTTATTTCAATTAATACTATGTTGTAATTTCTATGTCAGTAAATATACATCTACAAGTATATTTATTTTAATGGCTGTGTATAATTCCACCAAATGGAAGAATCTTAATTCATAAAGTTGTGTTCAACTTTTCACAGTTGGCGTGTTCATTACAATAAAATATGAACCTGGCCTACGATTTGTCCTTTTTCTCAAATCGGGACTCAGATGGAGCCTGCGCCTTCAGAGATTTACTGATACCTGGTTCCCAGGACGACTTTAGAGTCAGCCATTTAAACCTTTAAAAGGATTAAAAACTAATGGCTCCTCTTACAACTTTTTATTTTCCTCACTCAGACCTGAACATTTTGGGGGAAACAGCAGGCTTTTCTGAAAATCCTAAAGGTGTAATCACAAATTATTTCTAGTTTTCTCTCACACTTCTAGAGGAAGAGAATCACAAACCAAAATGATAAATGTTTCAATGCCCCTGTTCCTTGCCACTGATTTCTGGCTATGTTGGAGGCCCTAAAGGATGAACTTTCTTTTTTTTCTTCTTCAGAGAAAAAAACGTCAAATAGCAATTCATCGGGATTTGTTTTAACATAATAAAACCCTTTGAAGAGACCCACCCCATCTGCTCGGTTATTAACCTAAAACATCTCCAAAGAGGTAAACGAGGGGGACCATAAAAGAGAAATTGGCTAATATAAAAATCAAACCACATTATGATACGTATTTTCACCCCCTTCAGGCCATGTAAAGATGAAATCATCACCTCAAGAAAATATTGGGGAAAAAATCTTTTTACCACAAGTTTTGACAGTTTTCCGGCTAAAGATTCACAGGAAAATGGGATTTGGTCGTTTTGCCCCACTATCCTCAAATTTCTGTTTAAAAAAATTTTTTTTTCCTCAAGGTTTTCCCGCCGGGAAAAGAGATGGTCCGACTCCGGTCCGCGCTGAAGCTCCTTTCCCCCCTCGCAGGCGCCCCCGTGGCCTCAAGAACATTTTAGAACCCTCCCAGGGGCCCCAGCGGGAAGGACGCCCCGCCCCCTCATGAATAGCAAGTAACATCGACTCCCGTAGGGCCCCCTCCTTCCTCATGAATAATTTAGAACTCTCCCAGGAGCCCCAGCGAGGAATCCCCGCCCCATCATGAATAGCAAACAACCCCGACTCTCCTAGTGCTCCCCCACCTCCTTCCTCATGAATAATTTAGATACTCCCGGCGGTGCCCCCGGGAAGGAGACCCCACCCCCTTATGAATATCAAACAACCTCCGTTCCCGTAGTGCCCCCCCCCTTCCTTATGAATAATTAAAGAGGTGCGGTTCTTTTTGACCCCTGAACCTGAGGCCAAAACCACCCTTTGCTCCAATCTGAAAACAGGAAGGGGCTAGAGCCGTTAGAGTCTGGGGGAGGGGAGGGTGAAACCAAGTACCTAAACCAGGAGTGCCACACGTCTGCTCCAAACCATTTCCTTTCCCTTCACCTAGTTTTGAGCAAATTTATGATTCCCCCGACTCCCACCCCATTCAGGTAAGTTACTCGAACTTTCATCAGAACTTCTGTGGGAAAAAAATCTCCAGGCATTCCTTTTGAAAAGCTATCTTGGTGCCTAGAATCAAAGGAAGATGAGTGTCGTCAGCTTCTCAAGATGGCGTCCAAGGCAAATCTTTCCAGCTTGGCCCTCCTCCCTTGAAGATTAAGTTTTCGTTCATTTATCCATTCATTCAGTAACTATTTATTGGAGTCCACTCTGCGCCGGGCCATGGAGTAGGCCCTAAGGGTACAACAGAGAACAAGACACTTAAGTTTCCTGCCTTAATGGAGCTTATTAATTAGTCTAATGAGGATGATGGAAGAACAACTAAAATAAAATAACTATAGATTGTGAGCACTGTTATGGAGGAAATAAGGAAACAGAGAACAACAGGGTGTGGCGGGGAGGGGGGCCTACTTTAGGTGGACTGGTCAGGAAGGTTCCTTTGAGGAAGTGACATCTAATCTGAAAACTAATGAAGGAGAAGGAGCCAGCCAGTAAAAGGAGCGAGGGGAAGGGAACAGCAAGAGCAAAGGCCCTGAGGGTGGGAAAGATTTTGGAATTTGCCAAGACTGGCTGGCTGAGTTTGTGAGCAAACAGTAGGGAACAGGGAGAAGCAGGCACAGACTGGGATATGCAGGGCCTCATGGGCCAGTAAAAAAACAAACAAACCCTTTGCCATTGAGTCGATTCCAACTCACAGCAACCCTATAGGACATATTAGAACTGCCCCATAGAGTTCCCAAGGAGCAGCTGGTGGATTTGACCTACTAACCTTTTGGTTAACAGCCATAGCCTGCCATAGTTCTTAACCACTGTGCCACCAGGGCTCCAATGGGCCTGTAGAGAGGGCCATTTTAGAAACCTCATGGACCTTCTATGGAGCCCTGCTCCTTGGAACAGGTGTAGGCTCCATACACTCCTACTTTGGGGGCTCACTCCATATTATATCCAACAAATGGATATACGCTCACATCCTGCATTCAAATAAAATATATAAATAACTACATAAAAGCTGACTTGAAATTTCAGTTTGCAGTTTTGGGGAGCCAATTCTTTTTTCCCCCAGTCTCAAATATTTTTAGAGGCAAGGTCCCTAGTCAGTGGGCCAGGAGTGCCTAATGAACACAAGGATCCTGAATAGTGAGAAGTTTAGATTTTATTCGTAGCACCATGGGAGGTTATTGAATTTTAAGCAGGGGAGTGATATGATCTGATTTACATCATTAAAAGAGTGTCTGGCTTTCATGCAGAGAATGAATGAGGTGGGTAGGTAGGATCTGTTAGGATGTTACTACAGAACCCGGGTGGTGACTTGGGACGGATGAGTTTGAGATATAGTTTGAGGATAGAAGTTAACTGAATTTGCTGATGGATTGGATGTGGAGAAAGGAAGGAGATATGGATGATTTCAGGTTTCTAACTTTAATAAGCATTTTTTGTTTTGTTTTACTGAGATATTCAAGTGTGTGTATATACATATATGTTTTTCCTTTGGGAAATCAAGAGTTTCATTACTTAAGTTTGAGATGCTCATGAGACATCCAAGTGGAGATGTCAGGGAGGCAGTTGTATTTATGAATCTGGAGCTTGGAGGAAAAACTCTTGGCTGGAGATACAAATTGGGGAGTTTTCAGCATTAGAGGACTATTGACATTCAGAGATCAGGAAAAGGAGGACGAGTTCTCAAAGGAGGTTGAAAAAGGAGCATCTAGTGAAGTAAATGGAGAAAACAAGGAGAGGACAGAGTTAACGAAGCCCGAAACAGGGTGCTTTAAAAATGGAGAGTGGTCGACTGTGCTGGGTGCTGCTGAGTTCAGCAAGATGTCCACTGGATTCGGCAATCCCATTTAGGTAGAAGTTCTGTAGGGCCATCTTGCTATTTCCTATCTCATGAACCTGCAGTGACTTTGCTTTGCCAATAACATCAAACTCTGCCTTTGCTGTTTCTTTAGTGTTCTCTATAGTCTATTTCTCCCGCTGTTTATTCATTCATTCATTTGTTATTTGATCCATGCCTATTTTCTGCCAGACCGTGTTAACTGTTGGGTAACTACAGT